GCACCAAATTACATGCACGGCGCGCGGGGCCAATTAAATTTTAAGACTGCGCCGATCGCCCGAAATGCCGAGAGAAAACGAAATTTAATTTCCAGAGAGCGAAATTTCCCTCAGGCATGGTTTTTAGGCAAATGAGAGCCCTCCAGAAAGTGGCTCTGCCTATCAAAACGCGTGGAACGGATTTTGATTTGAATGTGGCATTATTCCCACTAGAGGAAACTGTCTAGACAAAATAGAGCCGTCTCGAGTGGGCTAGATCGAGTGAAATTATTTAGTTTTGAAGTTTACATAAATCCTTCTAGATCGTTCTGGTGAAAATATTCAAATCAATACAATATGTCTCAAATTAATTTATATACAGAGGATTGCTGCGTAGTTCAGAAAATCAATGGAAAATTACATAATCAAATTTTTGTTATTTTGTAAATTTGCTTCAAAATTTTTATAAATTGGAAAGTTTTTCTGATAATATTTATTTAAAGTTTGCCTTGTTTTATTAATTTTTCAAATTATGCAGTTTCTTTTATGTATTTTAAAAGCTTACTCAGGCAAACAATTAAATTTAAGGGAATTAGCGAAGAGTCTTTAAATTAAATCATTGAAAGGCCCCACAGAAAAAAAATACCATGCAAATGCATTGCAATATTGAAAATTTAGATGTTTATAAATCATAAAGACTATGAATGATTTGAATCTGTTTTTTTTTAAAGGATGCTAATTTTTATTGATTTTTGTGATCCACAAAAAAAGCTTTTGAAATTAATAAATATTTATTTCCAATTTATCTAATGAAGTTCTTAAATATAATCTGCAATTTTAACATTCACTAGCATTTGAATCTTGTTTCTAACTTTTCCTCTCCTTTGTGTTTCAGGACGAGGCCAAAAAGTGGAAAGGCTATTTTCCGCCGGCGTGCAGAATGAAAACGGCAACGGTTCTCCATAATAAAAAAGCAAAAATCTCCACCGGTGCTTTTTTGTCCTGTTTTAGCGGAGCAGCTGAATAATTAATAGTTTGCTGTACAAGCCCAATAAAAGCTTGCTTGAATTTTTTACAAACACGCGGCCGGTTATTAGCGTGTAATGTGCATTATTAATGAAAGAGAGCCGCGCGGAGAGAGAATATAAAATCGGGCCGAGTGCGGTGTTTTTACACTCCATGAAAGGGGAGAAAAGAACAATGTACTTGACGGAAAGTGGCTATGCTTTCCCTCTCTTTTCCCACCGAAAATTTTCCTCTCTCTTTGTCGGTTGACGTTGACAGCAAAACTCCAACAGGTCCGGCTGCGGCAAAAAATCGCCCTAAACTGCTTTTTAACATTCCGCCCTGTTTACCCAAGGGCTGTTGAATATTGCATGTTTTTGCCCCGGCCATTGTCGGCCGATATAAGTCTCCTGGTGCTCTCTCCGCCACCACCATGGTCAACTTGTCAAACTCAATTTCGAGAGAGAGCGAGCAGGCGAGCGACGACTGGGGTAAAAAGAGTGGTCATCAAAACCGCACCACGTCAGTTTCGTTTTGAAATATTGAGCCGGGTAAAAACGCCAGCGGAGAGGTCAAACGCCGGTGCGCACCACCAACGTCACTTTTCATGTGATATAAAAAATGTAAACAATTTCTTTAATTTATATATAAATAATAAACATTTCAAATTGGCGTTTCATTCAAAACACCTAATTTTGAGTTGGTATAATTAATAATTATTAAATGCAGTTAAATTTAAAAATATAATAAGTGGCAAATAATATTTTTGTAATTATTTTCAAAGCTTGTTACCTTGGAGAAATGTATAATATTATAGGAGAATTCAACATCTTCAGCCAAGGCAATCTATAAGTATTATTCTTGAAATTACTTAAAAAGAATATCAAATATTTAATGAAAACTGGAAATTTTTTTATTTAATAAAACATCAACAACAGAAAATTTTAATCAAATTTTAAATTTAACCATTTTAGATTAAATAATTAAATTTAGCGTAATCATAGCGATGATTAAACAAAAATTAAAATTTAAAACATTTACATGCAGCAGAATTATTTCTTATTTATGAATTTATTGTATTGCAGAAATAATTGCAGTTATTTGTTTCAGCTCGTGCAGAATATTAAATTTTAATTATTTTGGTGAAAATTAAGAGGAAATTTCATTTTGTATAAAAAATACAACAATGAGCATTCATTTTTTGCCGTACCGAGTCGATTAATGAAAGGAGTGTGCGAAGCCATTTTGGTTCTTGGCAAAAACTACTCGACTTGGCAGCTTCAAAAACACTCGGCAAGTCTCTCTAGTCGTGATGGATGTGCGAAATTTTCTCGCCGCGCTCTTTGCAATTTCTCAAGTGTCTGCGGCACCGGCAGCTCTTGCGGGCGTGTGTGTGTATTCAGAGGGCGGCTCCACGTGTCTGTACGTAGGTACGTGAGAGTGTGTTTTATAATATTATTTGAGCGGCGCCGCCGCCACTGCCTTGCACATTTGTCTTTGTAGCGCACAAAGAAAGTAGCAGTGCCGCTGCTGCGCTGGGGGCGCACCCACCCTCTTGCCTCACCACCTTTATATATATATTTCCGCCTTTTCTACCCCTCTAATTTTCTGTCTCAAGCAGTTTCCACCGAACTGCAAATTTAATATCCTGACATCGCAATTTATTTCTGACTTGCAATTAATATCTTCCTCTGCTCGCTCCTCTATTATTCATGCCAGGCTTTTACCTCACGTTACGTTTTCTCTTCTCCACCTCCCCAGCAACGATCGATTCTGCTTAAAAATGGCACCACACCACATGTTTCTTCGACTATCTTTTGGAACAAAAATATTTAATTTTCAATTGAAGTGTTATGAAGAAGTACACAACAAAAAGTGGCGAGGCTTGTTTAATTAACATTCTATTAATTGAAATATAAATTTGTGGTCAAATTCTAGGTCGAGGGTTGATCATGGGGATTTTAATTTTAAGTCCCCTTTTCCTCCGTGGGTTTTCAGTATTGTTCATTTTGAATATTTTTTATCAAAATTGCAAATTATTTGAGAAATTTATAGACATTAACGAAAAAAATTTCACAGCTCATCGCTGCTCATGAATTATTGCTGTTTTTTTCTTCTTAAAAAATACACAACTCACAAAACTCATCAAGGAAAAGCCGACTTGAAATTCAAATCGCCGTGAAATAATTGCGTCTTCATACAGCACTAATAAGGTTTTAAAATCAATTTCTTCTTGAAGACAAGACCAATAAAAATCAATGTTTTTTGGATATTTTAATATTAATATTTACCTTTAAGAGGAGAATATTTCTATAGTTTCAAAACTGATATCATATTATTTCAGAAAAATTTGTTTAAGATCAACACCAAAATTTTGGAACCTACAAATAGGATAAATTTAAATTCATTTGGTAAAATTTTAGCTAACCTTCAGAGTAAATTAATAAATTAATTAATTCAACCACTAAAATTTAAAAGATTTTTCTAAATTTTCCAAAACTTCATGCAAAAATATTGAGTAAATTCCTAAACTCCAACAGCATTGTTTAATTCGGAGCCGTCAGTTTTGTACTTTTTGGGCAATTTGGCCAAAAAGCATTTCCACCCAAAACAAGCATCTGGTGAATTTAATTTTCCAGCGGAATCAGTGCCTGAGAAGAGGCACCACTTGCAGCTGCTAAACTTTTGACAAAACGAAAAGGGTCGGCGCGCGTGGTGGGCGAGCAGAGCGCGCAGCCAGTTAGGCACATAGTCTTATCTATTTATGGCAACTGCTAATTAAAATTCAATCAGCTCCAGATTGTTTTGCTTGCCTCTCTTAATTTTGTTCTCTGCGGTGGTGCAAATACCCCGCCGGTGGAATTAATTATAGCATAACACCCTGCGCGCTGCTCGTTATTTTGCGACTTAAATTCAAAATTCGCTGCCTTAGCTCGGCTGGCGGCGCGAGGGCGATTCCATTTTCCGGCCTTTTCTCGTCTGGTGGGTGCTGCAGCTTTTATCCATCTGGAGAAAGAAGCCGGGCCGAGATCAATCGGCCGGGGGCGAACAAACACAAAGCGAAATTATTATTGTTCCTGGCGCCGCGCGGCACCACCTTGTAATTGTGCGCCGCAGCCTTGATGGAAATCCTGCCGCGTCTCGCTCTGTATGATCATCGCCTCCCATTATCTTCATCTCTTTCCATCCTCTTTGACAAAGCAACCATAAATTTGTGCAGGCTTGACGAGAGACGCTGCTTCCCGCTTAAAATATAAATTACGACGACGACGCTCCGTCTGAAGCGATTGCTAACGAGCTAGGCGAAATTTCGCACCTTCGGGCCATGCGCCTTTTGAAGCTAGGAAAGAGAGTTCCGCACTTGCAGGCCTGCTTTTCTCCCAAGAACGGATAATCCCACAGCCATGTTCTCGAGCAAAACTATGTTTTTAATAATCAATGAGAGAAGATATTACATATATTGTAAAGAGTAGGTAAGAAATTGATGTTTTGATTTATTTTACGCAATTTTGTTATTATTATCAATATTAAATTATAAATTTTAAGAGATTATGAATAGTTATTATGTGATAAAAATTCACATATTCATTCAAAGCAATATCAAATATCATAATTAAAAATTAAGTAAATTATAAAAAAGGAACTTGGTCTGAGGCAACGCGAAACCTTCGAACCAATTTAACGGATGCAAAAGGCAAAAAACTTAATAGTTTTTTCACTTTCTATCAAACCAAATAATTAGTCATTTATAATTAAAACAAAATACTAAAACTAAATCAATATCAATAAACACAATTTGCAACTAAATACCTTTTTAGAGCAGGTTGCAATTAAAATTCGGATTTAATTTTTTTTTTTCTAAAATCCGCATAGCGAAGTGGCATTTTTAAGTTAGTTAGCCGAGTGAAAATAGTCTTAAAAGTATGCTAGTAATTCACCAACGTAATTTATAATTACATAATTATGCATAGAAAGTAAGATAATGAAGGCGAGCACGGAGCAGTCGGAGCACCTACCTTGAAAAAATTGCACACCACCTGTCCAGATGGGTCTCAGGGTCCTGCTGTCCTTTTATAGCGTCTTTGACAGCGGAATCGACCATTGAACTTGACGATCACGCGAAATGCACAAAAACACAACCGATCACAAGAGATTTTGCTCTTCTACTGCTATTTTTAGCGTGAGAGTGCATGAAGGTATGTCATGTGTTGGCTTCAGGAGAAGAAACTATTTTTCTGACATGCACATTCTTGTTTCCTCCTTGATTCACGTTTCATGCTTGAAACCAGAAACGCGTTGGAATGTGGATTTACAGGGCATTTCTGCTGCTGCAGACTTTGGATTTCGTCCTTGACTTTCGTGAAATACCTAAGGCCAGCTACTGGTGACTCACTGTCAGTGACTTCGCATTCTCATAATTTCGCCTTCATTCGTGTTTTGTGTTCTATTGATTGCGTGCATGAAGAACCTTCTTCCTCGAGAAAGACCTTCTGCAGCAAAGGATTTTAATGGCCATGCAGAGACTTCAGATGGGAATCCTGGACCCTCCATCCCAGTTTTTATTCACAAAGGCAGGTGGAATTAATTTACTTCAACATATAATTTTTTGTGCACAATTCTGATAAAATATTCATGGAGACTTTTAGAACCCATCTTAAAAGGGAAAAATATGAAATTTTTCGGAATTAAAGAGGATAAATCGGGATAAATTAAGTATTTGCAAATAAGAAAACTTTTGCGCATCTTTTCCCTATTATGGGTTTTTTAAATAAATTATAATGATTGTTAAAAAAAATAAATCGTCACAGGGCGAGTTGTAATGATAAAAACCTAAAAAACGCTGGATAGATTATGCACATTCATGCATATAATTTCTATATTCAAAGAGCAAAAATGTAGATTGCAATTGGAAAATTATTATTACTAATTTCTACGGTTTTGCGAAAAATTAACAATTTTTTATTTTATCAAGTGTGACAAAATTTTGAATCAATTATTGAAATTATCAAAATGCAGATTCAGAGTTTCGATTTAGTTTTAGTCAGTTTTAGTGAAAGTAAATTACACTTTAAGTTCAACACCACTTCCCGGGAGTTTCGTTCTTCATGTTTTACGTCGAATTGAAGCGCACAAGAGAGGAATATAACTTAATTCCGCGACACAAGAAAGTGGTCTTTGCATTCATAATTGCGGCGGGGTGCCGAAAAAGCCCATCCACGCGCACACACACTATATGCTAATTATTGCCGGCGTGCGGATCACGGAGACCGAAGATTACGAAAGAGGATCCTTTTGGGTGCGACAGCTGAAATTTCTTATTCCGAGCTCAATCGCGCGAGCAGTTGTTGCGGATTAGTTTTGCTCCCACATGGTCAAAGCTCCTTCGCCGGCTTTTAATTAGACTTTTGTCGAGCAGAAAATCATTCCGCTGACGGCGAATATTTATTATTTGTCGTCGACTCTGCACAATTTGCCGCCGTTCCAAACCGCTCTCCGCCTCTTTGTCATTTGTTTCCAACGTTGACATTGCAAAAGCCGGAACAGAAGCTCGCTGAGAAATCAATCACGCCAAAACAGAAGCCTGGTTTCGTTTCAGCGCCAATTTTGTTTTCTGATCGATTTGTTTTCCACCTCTTTGTACAATTGTAAAGGTATAATTTAGCAGACTTCAATTAAAGTCAAAAGAGAGAGGAAATAAGTCTATAAATTCGTGAAATATCCTGGTTAATTTTTCTATTTCCGAACTAGAATTTTTTCTTCATAAATATTTTTAATCAAATTTGATTGAATGATTAAAAATTTCTAGGAATTAATAAATAAGATAAAATGTTTGAATTTGCCAAAAAAACTAATTAAGTAAAACTAGATCATGTACTGAAAAATAGTTATAATTATTTTTGTAAATTTGTCCATATTGTTACAAATATATATTGTTAACATTTAATTTTTGAAAAATTTCAATTGAAAAAAACGAATTGTTGGACAAAACGGCAATAAAGAATTTTGCTAATTAATTCGTAATTTGATCGGAGGCTTTAAAAATATTTATTTTAAGTCATAACTCATATTATGTGAAGTGTTGTTTTGAAGAATTTTGTTGCTGCTCAACTCAATCTAGGCATATTCAGTTCAACCAATTAACCTAACTAAGTGGAATTGCTTACTGAAGTCAACCTAAAAAATAACAGATATTTAATTATTTTGTTGGGGAACATGATTTTTCGCAGATCTGTTTTTTACCTGCTGGTGTTTTATTCATTTACATTAAATACTTTTATTATAAACTCCTAGCTTACCTCAATTTTATTTTCTTATGGGGATTTTGGTTTGAATTAGAAAATAAAAAACCGACATTTTTTAAGCTATTGAAATTTATAAATTGAATTGGTTTAGTTTAATAAAAAATACAACATGCTTTTGACTGCTTTTGAAATTGTTCCTTGCGTTGATTAATTTACAATTTATAAATGAAAATTATTGCATCAAGAATTTCTCATAATAATCAGAGTGTAGAGGCCAAAGCATATTATTAACAAAAAACTGTATTTTTACAATCATTTAAACTTTTGTTCACTTTTCTTGAAGTAAGGTAATGTGATCAAATGTCCAGGGATGCCTCTATATAACTTGACAGAAGTCGGAACTATTCAAGGGAAGGAGCTTTTGTTGGTTCCGGTCAGTTCTCGACCCGCAACGAACCCCCGCGCGTCTTGCCCTCCATAATTCAATCAGCTGCCCCGAGAGTGAGTAAATATTATCAACTCGAGCAACCCAATTTCTTGAGGAGATCAAACTAACCGACAACTAGTTTGGGGATATCTGGCCGTCTAGCCAGGTCTAGGAACTTTTCCGCCCCCTGTGCAACCCCATCGCCGCGCCGAGCGAGCCACCCCGAGTTTGCACGGATGCACCCCAGAGGGCAGAACCTCTCGCGCTGCAACGCATCTCGGTTCGATCAAAACTATTAAAATATAACTGCAAAATTTCAAGACTTCAAAAAACTAAAATTGAATCCATCGGTTGCCATCTTTTTTACAGAAAACTGGATGGATGATAATTCGACCTTTTCAATTCAAATAAAAATAATAATTTATTGATTAATATTCAAAATTTATTGTCCTTGAATTAAAATACTGCTGGATAAAATACTGAAAAAATGTGTTAATAAAAAAAAATTCAATATTGTAACAAACTTATTAAAAAAGCTAATTTTATTACTTTTATTTCCTTTCAAACGGAGAAAAAATTATTTTAAAACTAGCACAAATTGTTTTACAAACTTATTATCCCCTCACTCTTATTACAAGAGCAGCAATTAAGATAAAAACCAAACGGCTCCATTTTTTGCACCGCAAACTCCCTTAAGCCTTAAATCAAGCTATAAAAAGTGTCCCCCTGCTTTTGAAAAACCGGCGTTAACGTGTCACTACTGCTTGTTAAACAGGTACATTATAAAAGGGGAAAAAAGAGAGTGGTTAGCCGGTTAAAATGATACGCGCTCTCTGCGGGTCGCAGTGGATTAAAAAAACAGACCCGAGGGGAGCGATTTTTTGCCTGCGCGTATAAAAAAGAGAGAGGGCATATCACACACACACACACACACACACTCCACACACGCACCGCACACAAGAGGCGAAAGAGTTTATAAAAGTCGTGTGTTTGCACAAACCGGCGGCTAACTCAATTACCGCGTGGACACTCTCGTAAATTCGCACCCTTTTCGTGCCGCCGCATTTTAAAAGCAGGTTAAATTGCAGAAAATTATGCCGGAATTTCACGACGCATTAAATCGCAGCATTTTCGGAATTTTACGGCGCGTTTTATTTGACAAAGATCGGTATGGAAAAGCACGGATCGAAAGGGCAAAGGGAGAGAGACGGAGCTGATTATGCTGCTCAAATATTAATTCTCAGTTGGTACTAGTAGAGCCACACAGCGGATGCATCCACAAATAGCTGCCATGATTTTGCAGCAAAATATTGCATTTCCTCTCTGAACCTCATTAATTTTAATTTGATTTATCATATAACTTGTTTTGAGCTTTTCAATTCAATAGCTACATAATTCCGATAAAATTATTCAAATATTAAGTTTTTACATTTTTTTATTATAAAAGCTGAGCTAATCATATCTAAAAACATGATAATCTTGTTTAAAATAAAACAACTCCGCTGCCATAATAATGATTTCATGATTAAAATTATTTAATAAACATTGATTTAGTATGCACATAAGAATTAAGAAGCATTACAAAAATTGAGATGAAGTAAAATTAATTTAGATTATTTCGTTAATTTTTTTTTTAAATTTCACTTTCCTCATTGAAGAACTTACTATATCTTTTAAAATTCAGCTGTCGCAGACAAAACTAATTGATTTTTTGTTGTTAAATAATTCTAAATAAAAAATTATGTTTCTTACAGTCCACAAGTTTCAATTAATTTATATTTTTTTAGGTCTATTCTGATAAATAATGTTGTAATTAATTTCTTATCTTTTTTAAGATATTTTTGGACATTATTTACCGATATATATTGAATAAATAAATTTCGAATATAACTAAATTGTTGATCAAATTACTACAAAAGAGTGTAAGTTCTATCCCTATAATACCAAGTCGCACTTTTCTTTCTCGACTGTTTTGCCGCGCAGCGCCGCATCACCCGGTAGGGAACCCCATTTCGACCACCCGTATTCGCCCGATTTTTGATCGAGGCCCCGCCGGGCCCGCGCGGCCCAAACACGTCTTTTTGTCTTTCGCGCTTTATTGCTCGGTACCTACCCGAGCGAGCAATTTGCCGCTAGCACGGTTGGATTCTCCGTTAAATTTGCTAATTTGACGTCGTCACCCGTTTTTCGCTCGGGGCACTCCTTCCCACCTTAAATTCAGGGTAAATCTGAAAAATCGCAAAAAATCGCATTTTTTCCGCATTCAAGTGCGAAAACGGCTGACATAAAAAAATCGACATGAACAGCCGATCAAATCCCAGGTGCACCCTGACGCGCCCTACATTTTCCCGGGTAGAACCGACCCTTGCGATTTTTTCCCCAGGTTTACCGGCACCCCGAAGGGTGACAAAACCGGTTTTTTCGAGAAATTACATTGCGAAAAGTCGAAAATCGAAAAAAGTGCAAAACAGGAATTGTGCGCC